AAAGGTGCCTTTTCTCCCAAAGTTGGTTCCTGATGTTAAAAGGGAGAATCTCTTCTTCATACCTCTCTCCAGGCATGACAGCTTTTCTAGTGTCCCAGCAGGGGGTGTCTACTGAAGCCAAGGGCCAATCGCCTCATTTAGGGAGGGGGGGTTAGGCGGAGACCCAGGCTAGGACCAAATCCCTCGTGAGTTTATACCATGGTCAATAATCTTCCATAGGTACATGTACCATCCTAGCCACTGGTAGATTAATATGCAGAATGATATTCTGAACGTCCAGACATCAAATATGACATATCTTACCGTTCCAGATAAGGACATATTGCTTTCTACTCTCGTGTAGACGCCACATAGGGGTGAAAGGTGTCAGGTGACTCATATTAAACTGACCTATCTGAATATATGCTTTGTTTTATTGTACCTTGTTCCTGTCAGGATTTATGAATTTGTAAGAAAAAGTGGTTTCAAGTGGGATGTACGTTTTACTGCCACTCTGGAATGCCTTTCATGTCCAGTGACCGACTGATTTATAGCTTTACAACCAGGCCAAGGCAAGAGTCTGACAGACACATCCATGGGACCAGCTAATTGGGTGCCCTGTGCACTCCTGAACTCAGCACACACACAGACCACATTCCTTGCAAGGGGAGGGGGCTGGAGAGAGAAAGAATGATATTTGCAGAGTATGATACAAGATGGTGGATCTTAGCAAAAGGGTTGTCCGCTTCCATATCTGCAATTATCACGCCTGCCGCCCCCCAAATTCCTCCTTCCAACACAAATCTCCTCCCCCCAATCTCCTCATGGTGCCCCCCTACCTCACATGATACCACAGTGCCTAGGGCAGCTGCCCCTCCTGCCCACCCCTTGTCTCAGTACTGCTGCAATGCCATGAATGATCCTCAAGCTGAAAGGAGGGGCAGCAGAGGGGAGGAAGAAAGGACAGAGGAGGATGCCGGGTGTCTGGGGCCAGTGCAGCAGCTGAGCTGCAGCTACTTCTAGTGTTCCTCTCAGACTCAGTCCCTTACTGCAAGCTGGCTGGTGGCTGCTGATCATAGCGGAGTTCCAGCCCTTCTCTTCCCATACATCAGCAGAGTCGGAGCTGCGCATGTAGGAAGGTAATATCTGATCTCTCGTGTCTGTGAGTCTGACCCGGGTGGCCAGCCATCCATCACATGTGCAATGTGTCAGTGAGTGAAGACATCATCACAATCCCACAGCCTGCTCTTCTACTGCCTGCTGAGCCTGCTGATCTGTGTCATAGTTGGTGGTGGTGATCTGTTGTGTTGGATCTGTCATTGTGCGGGATCGCTCAGTTCAAGTGTTGTGTGTTATTTATCTTTTTTTGGGGGGAGGTGGTACAGTAGCTGGTCTTGCCTAGGGCGCAAAATAGTCTAGCACCGGCCCTGTCAGCAGCAGCGGTATTTATCAGTGTTGTTTAATGATGTCCAATTTTTGGAGATGGACAAGGATCATTAGACTTGACCACCCGTTATTATGAGTTTTATCTATGTTATATTCTTTGTAACTAAAGACATTAGTGAGGAACATCTGTTAAAAAAACACATTTGTGTGATGTGTTAGTTTTATAAATACTTTTCTTTATGTTAACTTATGGTACCATCTAGTGGCCAATAATATATAATCAAGTGTTAAATACAAAAATCCACACATTCCAGTAACAGTTTTTAAGGCCTCATACACACAGGATGTTTTGCAAACTTTCCTAGAAGCCTCTCATTCTGGCAGCAGCATCTTGGCAATAAAAATGCTTGAGGCTTGTAAAAGTGTGTAACGCATTTAGGTGCATTTAGCCGTGTCAAGCGCTTTCCTAGAATAATAATCTAACCCAAATAACCCTAACACTAATATATTCAGGCCACTGAAGTGAATTAACACTCAAGTGCTAAACGTGCCTTGTGTTGAGTGCATTTACACGCATTTACAGGTGTCAAGCGTTTTTTTTTTTTTTTTCTCAAAATGCCTGTTCCTGGATGCACTGGCAGTGAGTTTTTTTTCTGCAACTCCTCCTTGCCACTAAACTCCTCTAAAAGCCTATGTGTGCATATACACAGGCTAACATGAAGGGGTGTTTAGAGGCAGAAAAAAAATGCCAGACGTCTCTAGGAGCAGCTGAAAAAATGCCCTGTGTGCATGAGGCCTTAATCTGCAGACTGCCAGCAGTACAGTTTATATTTTTATTTCAGTAACTATAAAGCACTGTCAATTTACGCAGCACTTTACATATATATTGTACATTCACATCACTCCCTAACCCTCAAGGGGTGTACAATCTAAGGTCCCTAACTTACATTCATACATACACATACTAGGGCCAATTTAGACAGGAGCCAATTCACCTACCAGCATGTCTTTGGAGTGTGGGAGGAAACTAGAGTACCCGGGGCAAACCCATGCAAGCACAGGGAGAACATGCAAACTCCAGGCAGGTGATGCTGTGGCTGGAATTTGAACCAACGACCCTAGTACTGCCAGGTGGAAGTGCTAACCATTTAGCCACTGTGCTGCCCAATTATACTACTAATCTCTTCTATTTCTTGTAAAATTAACAAGTACAATATAGAAAGCACTCAATGAAGACAAGTCACTTTTGGCCTTTTAAGAGGAACATTGTACTTTACACTGCAAAAGTCATGGATCTCTATGCCCACTTTAACATTATGTGAAAAATGCATACACAGAAACAATGTACAAGTGCACCAAATTCAGAAAAAGTATTTACACACTGTTTGTGGGAGCTCTGAACCCTTCACAAGTAGCATGGTTGAGGGAAAGTGATATTCAATTAAAGAGAAGCTAAATACGCTATAAGGCAAAATGTATGCGGATACCCCTCCAAATGATTGAGGTCAGGGGTTTCCAGTGAAGGGTACTGTAAAAAAATCTTTAGACAATCGTGCACTTCCTTGGCAATAGTTAGGGAAGGCCCCTTTCTGATTTAGCATGACTGCACCCTTGTGCTCAAAGCTAGGTCCACAAAGAGACAGTATAAGGATTCTGTTGTGGAGGAACTCAAATAGCAGGCACAGAACTCTGACATCGGCTCTATTGAACACCTTTATGATGAATTGCAATGCCAAATGCAAGCCAGGTCTTCTCATCCAACATTAGTACCTGACCACCTCACAAATGCCTTTCAGGCTGGATGGGCACAAATTACTCTAAAATCTTGTGCAAAGCCTTCCAATATCGCAAAACAGATTCAGCAATGCAAAAACATGCATACATTGCAGAATAAAGAGAGCTGCACAAAGCTATTTAGTTTTCTTTTCATTTAATTTGTTAATTGAAGGATTTTGTTTTGTCATATTTGTTATGTTAACCAGATTTGTTTTCAGGATATGTTTTGTATCTTTGGGATTCGTTTGGTATATTCGTTTGTATCAAAAGGGTTTGATATTTTCGAATCTGATCTGAATTCATTGTGCAGAATAGCTGGTTGTTAAGGAGAGGACAGCCGCCTGGTCCTTTACAACCATGACTAATCTGCTGTCAGCGGGCTGTAAACAAACAAGTGCCAATGAAAAAAAAACCAGCGTGCTCCCCCCAAAGCACCTTCTCCCCATGTTGATACGGACAAGTGCCTTTTCCTAATTACTCTAGGCAGTGGTTGTGGGAGTCTGCTGGCGGGGAGTTTATGGGAATCTGGAAGCCCCAGATCCCCCCTCCATGTGAATGAGTATGGTCCCCTGAAGTAGATCCAACGTGAATCACGATGAATGCCGACCCGTAGAAAAAAAAACCCCAAAAAAAAAACAGCTGCCTGTTACACATGATATATCCTATCCAGGGACACATGCCAAATGACAGGTAAACATAGGGGCAGAGTCACACGGTGATGTGTGACTATATTTACCTGTTATTTGGCAAATGACGTTTCCTGTGGAGAGACACTCACCCAATGACAGGTAGACATGAGGACAACAGAATGTAAACAAAACAAGTGCCGACATTAACATTTAAAAAAAAATTTAAAAAAGAGTAGATTGCCCCCCCAATCCATACCGCACCCTTCAGATCTGGTATGGATTTTGAGGGGAACTCCATGCCAAAATTATTTTGTAAAATAGCGTAAGGTCCCCCCTAAAATCCATACCAGAGCCTTATAAAAGCATGCAGCCCAGCAGGCCAGAAAAAGGATGGAGACAAGCGTGCACCACCCCCCTTCTACCTGAACCATGGAAGGTCACATGCACTCATGGTGGAGTGTTTTTAGAGAGGGGGGATTCCCCCCAAAGCATCTTGTCCCCATGTTGATGAGGACAAGGGTCTATGCCTTACAACCCTCATCCCTCTGACAGCAGATCAGTCATGGTCATTATGGATGCGGCAGACACCCTCTCCTTAACAAACGACTATTATTCACAATGAATTCGGATCATTCAAACAAATTAAAAATGTGACGTCATCCGAATTAAACAAATTAAGTGAATGTATTCGTTATTTTTGTTATAACGTTTTCTATGTCAATTCGTAAATTTGGATACAAATCTCCAAAAATGACATTTTCATACAAAAATTAATCAAAACAAAAAAAATTGCATGTCTAGGTGCAGCATAGTACCATGTTACACCATACTAGTGTAATATGTAACATGCTACTAAAGGTGAACCTATCCTTTAATCATGCTGCAAAGACAGAATAACTGTTGATATGTCAGAAATGTGGTTTGCTTCTTCTTTCCTGTCTGAGCTCTTCAAAGCTCTGAAAATCTAAGCATGCAAAGTAACTATGTCCACCTCAGTTGTGATGGATTACAAAGGACGCAGTCCTCATCTCATCGATGGACATTTTTCCAAAGGAATCCAATTAGAAAAGTATGTGAACTTTGGGAGAAAACATTTTCAAATAGGTGGAGTTATTTAACAGAAGTCATAATGAATGAACGGTTTTGCTTACCTGGTAAAGGTAATTGTACCAGCAGACCACTAACACTAGAATCACGGTTTAATTTGCTTATCAAATCCAATAATTCTTCCTGAGTAATATAGCTGGGTCTAAGTAAAACTTCACTGGAAATTCCTAAAAACAGAAAAAAAATTCTTAAACAAAATGTTTTCAGGGGGTTTGAATAAAGAACAAGTCAAAGCAGAACCTAACCTTTCTGTCCTTCACAGCCAAGCAAGCAGCCACCTTAGACTGGACATACACTATGCAATTTTCTTACAATTTTCTGCCCAAATTCCTTTAGATTTACCTCCAACTCTGTAGTGCAAGGGCCTGCCTAATTGGATACAACTGAAAGTGTTGTTTGGGTTTGACCTCCTATTATATGGTTTTTGGTAAATCTAAAGCAAAAATCTCAAGAAAATTGTATAATGTATGGCCAGCCTTATGCAGGCCATAGATGGGTTGAAATTCAGCCGATTTTTCGGCCGAAAAAAAAAATTGGCTGATTTTTGCACTGTTAATGGGTTAATTGGTCAGCCATTTTTTTGGATTTTGTCAGATTTTTTTGATCGGTAAAGTTGGAAAAAAAATCGGCCGTTTTTGCTGATCGGCCAATTTTCGCGGCAATGATGGGCAAATTGGCCGATCTTTTTATCGATAAAAAATCTGCGCATGAGCCGTGACCTCTAAGAAAAAGAAGAAGAAGAAAAGAAGAGGAAGAGGAAGAGAAGAGAAGAAGAAGAAGAAGAAGAAAGAAGAAGAGGAAGAAGAGAAGAGGAAGAAGAAGAAGAGAAGAAGAAGAAGAGAAAGAAGAAGAAGAGAATGAAGAAGAAGAGAAAGAAGAAGAGAAAAGAAGAACAAGAGGAGAAGAAGAAGAAGAAAGAAGAGGAAGAAGAAGAGAAAGAAGAACAAGAAGAGAAAGAAGAAGAAGAGAAAGAAGGGGAAAGAAGAGAAAGAAGAAGAAGAAGAGAAAGAAGGAGAAGAAGAAGAGAAAGAAGAAGAAGAAGAGAAAGAAGGAGAAGAAGAAGAGAAAGAAGGAGAAGAAGAAGAGAGAAAGAAGAAGAGAAAGAAGGAGAAGAAGAAGAGAAAGAAGAAGAAGAAGAGAATGAAGAAGAAGAGAAAAGAAGAAGAGATGAGGAAGAAGAGAAAGAAGAAGAAGAAGAAGAAGTAGAAGAGGAAGCAGAAGAAGAAGAAGAAGAAGAAGAGAAAGAAGCAGAAGAGAAAGAAGAAGAAGAGAAATAAGAAGAATTCCAGTCTGCTATTATATTTGACATTAAAAAGTATTGCGGTTGCAACAATGTATCTATTTGTATCTGAAAAACCATCTGTATCCGAAATGGATACAAATTGCTACAATGTTGCAACCGCAATACTTTTTAATGTCAAATATAATAGCGGGCTCTCTGCAGGGACAGAAGTAATTAAATGCCGGCCGTAGACAGGAAGAAAATCGGCCGATTTTTTTTTTACTGTTGGTGGTAACGTCGACCTATTGAACGACCGATTTTTCGTTTTTTTGTTACAAAACCAGCCGGTTTTCTCCCCGTCTATGGCCTACATTAGCCTTTGTTTGATCTGACGTTGCCATGATGCTGAACATATAATCAGCTATGACACCAGCCATTTGATGGAGAACTAACATAAGCACAAGTGTAACCATTATCATTTAAGGCGTGCATTGAATATAGCTGTTTTGGGAACTGTAAAAACAAACTCACCACGCTCAACCCAGATATTCCTTGAAGGCTGTGGGGAAGATTGATGCTGCTGCTTAGGCTTCTGCAAACTGTAATGATTCCACTATGCAAAAAAGCCAGCACTCAATCAGGGACTGAATTTATAACTATTTATTGAAAACAGTGTTAAAAATCCATAAAGTACAGCTGTGCTAATACATTTCAGCTGAAACGCGTTAGAAATGCTGTACTTTATGGAATGCTAACCCTTTTTGCAATAAATAGCTATTATTTCAGTCTCTGCTGGCTTTTTTCACATAGCTGTTTTGGGAAACAGTTAAATCTGTGAGTTTAGTTCAGCTTTAAGAATCAAGAAAGGCCAATAAGTAACAGGGACAATGACATGTGGAGATTGACTGACTGGATTAAGGATTTTATTGCAAAACATTAGTTGAAAAGATTTTTACCTTTTCTGCAACTAATGGCAATTCAGAGATCATAGTTTTCGCCATATGGGATATTTTTAAAGTGCACCTGTACCCAGACCATGGACATTAAAATATTCACAAATTCTTAATAAATGGACAATGAAGACTAATTCATCTTGAAAGATCACAACAGAGATTTTGAAGTTTTAATCAGGTTTTTTTTTATACTATATGCTGTTTGTTGACATTAGAAGACTGACAGACTGTCAACTTGCTGATGCTATAGAAAACAACGCAGGACATGCTGTGATTTCAGGGCCTTTGTGGTGAAACTTGTGGAATTTCCACAAGGCTTACAAATACCAAGATCGGTGGCTTGTTTTATTGCTCTTTTGCCGCTTGTTAAGAATTTGTAAATACTTCAATGCAAGTAGTCTTGGCACAGGTGCACTTTAGGACTTATTAGAAGGTCACTGCACTCTGCAAGAAACTTTGTATATATAAAAAAATAATTTCATAAACCAATGAAAGTGCCGGACTGTAGCCAGAGGGAGTTAACAATGCCCTATTTTTAGTATTAGGAAGGAATATTGCCCCATCTTGTTGTCAATGGAAGGAACAGTGTCCCATTGTTGGTGCCATTGGAAGGTATAATGCCCCATTCTTGGTATCAGTGGAAGGAATAGTGACCCATCATTGGTGTCAGTGGAAGGAATAGTGCCCAATCAAAGGTGTCAATGGGAGAAATCGTGCCCCAAGGGCCAGATAAAAGCAGGTAAAGGGCCGCTGCTGGCCCCCGGGCTGCAGTTTGGAGACCACTGATTTAGATGCTAGCTCTCACCTCTTTAGCTATCTCAGATGTCTAGTACCATTACTTCATATTGCAGAAAGAGAAGTACATTCAATCAGGGTTAGTGAGATTGTAGACTAGATACAATAACACACAGGCAGACTGTGATCAATTTGGTAAATGACATGGACACACCTCTAGACTACTTGTTAGCACCTTGAAATGCTGGTTAGTGAGATACTTGCTGCCCCAGCTGCAAGGCAAACAGGTAATCTGTTCCTGCACTTTTTGCTGAGCTCTGCCTCTCTCCCTGTGCTGATAATAAAAGGGGAAGGCTCTGCCCGACACAGAGTCTGCTGCATGGGAAAGAAGACACAGAATCATGCATCATGCATTCTCCAGCTGCTTACAGAGAAGAAAGAAAGGGGAGCAGTTCCACTTCAGAGAGCAAGCCTGCCTGCTGTCCCATCCACAATTGTAGGGGGTTTGCTGGGACCTGCAGTCCTCCCTGAAGACACCAGTTTTGCAGATCTGCTACTATGGACTATGGCTGGTGCACCCAACAAGTCTAGGGATTGGGATTTTAGGGAGAGACTGTTACCATTGCTATCTGTAATGTTTATAATATTCCAAGTAATGCTTTTTGAAACTTTGTACTTGCCTGATCTGAAGTTACTAAAGAGGTGTAATGCAAGTAACTGGCACATTGTACACATGGTCTACAGTGTGGGTCACTAAAAAGCACATTGGGGTATGAAGACAGCTTTGCAAGAGTTAACACAGTGTGGGTATAAGCAAGTGGTTACCAAGGGTAATGGAAGTTTCTCAAGCAGCCTGCCATGAAGTGTGTACATATGGCAGGTGGGATAGCCTCTTGCAGGAGGAGCTGTTGTCAGCGCACTTTCCATGAGCAGGTCCATCTCTCATAGGAGCAGATCAGCAACACAGAGGTCCTCAGCCAGAGCATAGGTATGAAAGTGGAGGAGTTAAGTGAGTGCATATACTGTATGGAGTTAGTGCTAGGTGCACGGCAGGGCTCCATTCTGTTACTGGGAGTGAGGTAGTGGAGATATGCTGGACAGGTGGAGTGGGCATAGGCTCTGCACGCAATGTAATGACTAAGCACGTGTTCGTGTGAAACGTGTTTCTGTTTCTCTGTCCAGTCTTGGAGCTGTCCTGTTCTCATTATACTGTTTGTGCAGTTTCCAATAAAGGATTTTATTTCTGCTACACCATTGCTAGTACGGCCAACATTTGTTTTTTGGCACCACATAGGCTCTGCACTTCCATCCTAAATGTCACAGTTACTGTAGTGGTGTACATTAACCTCCTGGCGGTATGATTCTTTCCGATTTTTTGTGCTGAAAGCGGTACCATTTTTTTGCATGGAAATATGTAGTTTTTTATTGTAGGCTGTAATTTTTAGGAATAACTCACTGAAATCTGTCCGAACAAGAGTCTATTAAACATTCCAGATATGATAAAACACGAAATCATAAATTATAGTTTAATAAATAATCATAAAAAATAATAATATAATAATAATAAATTTAATTCAATAATATAATCAAACCAAAAACACTGAAATTTGAAATACAGAGGCAAATTCGCACATTGCTGAGCAAAGTCGCAAAATCAATTTCAGTGTCTGATGACGAATTTCCCCACAAATCATTATTACTCAATTCTGCAAGTGGTTCTAATTTACTATCGCTGTTCTAAAACCGCTTTTGACCTAAAGGGACGCTTTTTGGATGCCATGGACTTTTCTAAGTTTCCAGGCAGAAAGAATATTCAAAATACAGGCAGGGCACAGGACAAAGCACTAGGGACAAAATGTATGTGAAATGCATTGAAACAGCAATGACAGCAAAAATCACATTTTTAAAAAATTTCAAATTTCCTGCCGGTTCCGGCGCCCATACGTCCCGACGTCACAGGGACCGGAACACAGAAGCCGGATGCCGGCATCGGCCGGAGGAGATGGCTGGGGACGCTGCAGGGGACACATCGCGGGAGCGCAGGACAAGGTAAGTGCTGCAGGGACCCCCAGAGCAGCGCCGCATGGTAAGCCCGAGTGTAGCTCGGGGTTACCGCTCTTGGTATAGAAATTTTACCCCGAGCTACACTCAGGAATACCGCTAAGGAGGTTAACATGAAGCTAGTTAACTAGGATTTAGTCATCTGCTCAAGTGTACAGCATACAGCACAGGTTGGCGAATGCAAACCTTATTAAAGTCAATAGGAGTTGAATGTTAGAAAAACAGGAAGGCCTGTTCACATCTATCGCAGCGATTCCTGCACCCACAACCACCCGCAGTTAAAAAGGTCTGCTGTTTGAAAACGCATGGGGCTGACATTCATTCTTAATAGCATGCCACGCACCTAAAAACGCAGCACATTTGCAGTTGTGGGGACCACAGGGAAATCGCATGGTGCTAGCACAAAAAAAAAAGTTTTTAAATTTCATTTCATGGGGAGCAGAAATTTGAATAATGCTTAAAGGGAGATATTAAAACATGCCAAATTTTAATAATGCTTAAAGGGCAACAAATCAAATGAAAATGCAAAATTCTTTAAATAACCAGCCTATGGAATGGCATATCTGTTCAATATGAACTAACCACTACAATAAAACTGAAAGCACAGCTGGTCAGTTTTCTCGCTGTGCTGGGAGCTAATCCAATGATCAGACTTGTGCTGCCGCAACACCCCCCCCCCCCCCTTCCCCACCTCACAGCCATTTGCTTGGAATACCAGTTTCCTGCTATTTCTCCACTCCCAGCTCCTTATGCAGCTGAGAACAGAGACTATGATCACTTATAAAAAAGGGGGGAAAAGTATTTAAAATGTTTTTTATATGTGTATGCATATATTTTGGTTTTCATTTTTATTTTAAACTGAATGGGTTATTTTCCAAGGTGAGGGTTCACATATACTTTACACCGCATTCCAAATTATTATGCAAATTCTATTTAAGTGTCACAAAGATGAAATATTTTGTTTTTCAGTTTAACTTTTGGATGGCATTGTGTGTCAGGGCTCTTTTGATCACTGAAAACAATCTCAGACACCTGTGATAATTAGATTGGCCGGTGAGCCCAATTGAAGGAAAAACTACTAAAGGAGGGTGTTCCACATTATTAAGCAGAGCACCATTTTCAACCAATATGGGGAAGAAAAAGGATCTCTCTGCTGCCGAAAAGAGTGAAATAGTTCAATGCCTTGGACGAGGTATGAAAACATTAGATATTTCACGAAAACTTAAGCGTGATCATCGCACTATTAAGAGATTTGTGGCTGATTCAGAGCACAGACGGGTTCATGCAGGTAAAGGCACATTGAGGAAGATTTCTGCCAGATCCATGCATCGGATCAAGAGAGCAGCTGCTAAAATACCATTACATAGCAGCAAACAGATATTTGAAGCTGCTGGTGCCTCTGGAGTCCCACGGACATCAAGGTGTAGAGTCCTCCAGAGTCTTGCAACTGTGCATAAACCTTCTATTCGGCCACCACTAACCAATGCTCACAAGCAGAAACGGCTGCATTGGGCAGAAAAATACATGAAGACTAATTTTCAAACAGTCCTGTTCACTGATGAGTGCCGTGCAACCCTGGATGGTCCAGATGGATAGAGTAGTGGATGGTTGGTGGACGGCCACCCTGTTCCAACAAGGCTGCGACATCAGCAAGGCGGTGCTGGAGTCATGTTTTGGGCCGGAATCATGGGAACAGAGCTGGACGGCCCCTTTAGGGTCCCTGAAGGTCCCTGATGACCTCTGCAAAGTATGTGGTGTTTATGACTGACCACTTTCTTCCCTGGTACAGAAGGAAGAACTATGCTTTCCGTAATAAAATCATCTTCATGCATGACAATGCACCATCTCATGCTGCAAAGAATACCTCTGCATCAATGGCTGCTATGGGGATAAAAGGAGAGAAAGTCATGGTGTGGCCTCCATCATCCCATGACCTCAATCCTATTGAGAACCTTTGGAGCATCCTCAAGCAAAAGATCTATGAGGGTGGGAGGCAGTTTACATCCAAACAGCAGCTCTGGGAGGCTATTCTGATATCTTGCAAACAAATTCAAGCAGAAACTGTCCAAAAACTCACAAGTTCAATGGATGCAAGACTTGTGAAGCTGCTATCAAATAAGGGGTCCTATGTTAAAATGTAACGTGACCTGGTAAAATGTTGTTAAAAGTTTGATTGAAATAGCTTTTGATTTCAGTAAATATGCTGCAAACACAACAAATGACAATTTTCAGTTCTTTACAACCTATAAAGTGTTTTGAAACTTACTGTGTGTAATAATTTGGAATAGTGCATTGTAAGTGTTTTATGTTTAACAAAAATACTGTTATCATTAGGAGGTTTGTTCAATAAAATGTGAATTGTACTCTTAATAGTTGATAACATGAGAATTATGCTGACTGTTATTTACATTATTTAGGTAAATGAGAAAAATATAATTTGCATAATTTGGAACACGGTGTAAGCAGATAATATAAAAATTAATGAGACATTTGTTAGTAGCTGTGATGATTCTTTGGGAACACTGTTATAGGAAGCTTATCACCCCAACAAACTGTCAGTTCATTCAAAAATGTATTTTATTCACAAAGTAGAGACTCTTAGCTTAGACATAGAAAATACATTTACACAATTTGAACATACATGGAGACTATAGCAATTAATAATTCCAGAGTAAACTATGAAAGCAACGCTCATGTCATGTCCATGTTCTGTAATTAGTCAGTATAATGGCATAAGTTATAGTAAAAAAAAAAAGTTTTACAAGAGAATTGAGAATTTTAAATAGTGACACATACAGAATTTTACATAGTTTCAAACACAGGACTAAAATCTTTGAATTTCACAAAGGCATTACCTACAGTAGTTGCAGCTTTGATCTTATTCTTGACATAGGTGTGACTTGCTTGGTTGTCTCCCACCAGTATCACACTGAGATGAGGTCTTTGGTTGCCAAGGTACAACCAGGATTCTACATCCTTCTTGATCTCTTTTTTAATTTCTTTGGCAAGTTTGGTTCCTGAGATAATCTGTGCTTTGGACCTGCAGAACATCCTAAAAAGTAAAACATAGAAAGACTACGTTTTTTTTGCTGTATAAATCTACAGTCTCTTGGCTGTTTTATGTCAGTCATCTTACTACCTAGAGAGTTCAGGTTTTAAAGGGGAACAGCATCTACCAATTGTTAGACATTAGTAGTAGACCAAAAATACCAAATTTGGAGGCACAAAGGTTTTTTTTTTTTTTTAACTAAATGAAATAGACTGTCACTTTGCGAGGGAAGTTACACTATGCAAGGAAATTATCCCCAGAGCTTAGTGAATGATATGAAGCTCTGCTGACCTCCATCGTCTAATTATGTGCAACAACAAGAATGTGCAAGCAAGCAATGCAGTTTTTTTTATTTTCCTTGCATGGGCTTCGGTATTTTTTGCAAACTGAAATTTCACCACATTCACTAAGCTGTAGGGAAAATTCCCTTGCACAGTGCAATTTTCCATGCAAAGTGAACAGCATATGTTCCTTTGGTAAATCAACCCCACAATGTCTATGTGGGAGAGGGGACCCTTACACATAATAGGTCAACAAAAAAAAACCCAAATAGAGATAACAGTAAAATGCAATTTAACAGAGAAGTACAGCCAAAGCTCTTTTGGCTGTATTTCTGCTGTGGATCACAGGAGTGCAGTTAATTCTGCACTCCTGTGAACTAAAGTTCGCTGTTGGCTGACATCACTCAGCTGGTCCAGGCTGGGGAAAGCTCCCAACTTCAAAGTCTGGAGCGGCACCAGCGAGTGATGAGAGCCTGAGTCAGCAGCTCCCTCCCCCTCCACAGTCCAGCACTCCAGTGAGTGCTAGGGGGCTGAGCAGAGAGCGGTGACTGACAGCCCTGCTCTCTGCTCACAGCGTCTGCGAGAACTCAGCAATCAGCGATCATGTGATCGCTAAGTTCTCACACTAGAGCCAGCGGGGGACAGATACAGCATCGGGCAGATGGTAAGTATAAATAGGGGGGGGAGCCAAGCTAAATGAGATATAAAAACCCTCCAGAACCATTTGAGGGCCACAGTATTTTGTGCGGTATGCTTTAAGTTCAATATTGGCATCTTCAAGTGTTTATTTTCCATACTTCATCCAAGAAATCTCAGAAAACAAGTCAGGTGGGGGTAGAAAGAGAGATATATAAAGCAATAGAAACAAGAGTGGGAAAGACCTTTTGATCTTAGTCCCTAATTACCTTCTTCCTCCCCTTATAATTATATTATTATTATTTATTATTATACTTTTTTTCTTTTTTTTTACTTTTTTACTTTTAAATTTTTTCTGTTTTTACTCATTTTGTTCACTCATTTTTATAGCAGTTCCTTAAAAATATGCAAATAAAAATGTAACATAAAAATATTTTTATGTAAACTCACATTTCTCTTTGCATTGCATATTTTTTGAGGGTACTAAAATACCATATCATAAATTGTTGGATTATCTTACTGAACCTTGATATTTGCAGCCCACCAGACAGGAATTCCTTGGAGCTTCTGCTTGATTGAAATACCATTCTATAATATGAAAGCAAAGAGAAGTGATCACTCTGTGGTTCATAAATCACTTCTGAACAGAAATTTTGCCATTGATAAAACAGTGAATGCAAGATCATAGGTGAATTTCTTTACCAAAACACATTAAGTGACTTTACAACATTAAGAAGATTAAACTGAACAACATTATCTTTTGCATAGATTTTTACTCAATATTTAACAATGGTACATTATCATTGGCTCTACAAAAGTGTTAGCTTTGGAGATACAGGTTTATGCTGATAACACCTATTCAATTACAGTGACATTCTTGCTGACATTATAATGGATTGGATTTATCTCTTATATTGTATTGGAATTCCTAATGATGTACAGGTTTCTGTTTATCTTCTGTCCCAGCCCTTCTTTTAGTAATGACTATAATCGTAGAGTGGAACCATCACCATAAATCAAGTGGCTCTAGAACAGATAAGGGAAAATGGAAGGTCATCTTTACATTGCCTTCTCTAACAGCAGAATCATTTGTTTTATCGAAGTTTCACAGCTTATGTTGCAAGCATAACCACAGTTACTTAGATTTAGTATACATTGAAGGAAATAAGTATTTGATCCTCTGCTGATTTTGAATGTTTGCCCACTCACAAAGAAATGATCGGTCTAAAAATCGAATGGTAGGTGTATTGTAACACTGAGAGACAGAATAGCAACAAAAGATTCAAAAGAAATGCATGTCTAACAAATTATGCACTGATTTGCATGTTCATGAGGGAAATAAGTATTTGATGCCCTATCATTCAGCAGGATTTCTGGCTACCAGGTGTCTTTCATACAGGTAACAAGCTGAGATTAGAAGCAGTCTCTTAAAGGGAGTGCTGCTAATCTCATTTTGTTACCTATATAAAGGACACCTGTCTACAGGAGCAATCAAACAATCAGATTCCAAACTCTCCACCATGGCAAAGGCCAAAAAGCTGTCCAAAGATGTCAGGAACAAGATTGTAGACCTACACAAGGCTGGACTGGGCTAAAAACTATCACCAAGCAGCTTGGTGAGAAGGTGACAACAGTTGGTGCAATCATTCACAAATGGAAGAAACACAAAACAACTGTCAGTCTCCCTAGTTCCGTGGCACCATGCAAGATCTCACCTAGTGGGGTGTCAATGATCATAAAACAGTGAGGAATCATCCCAGAACTACACGTGAGAATCTTGTCAATGATCTCCAGGCAGCTGGGACCACAGTCACCAAGAAAACAATTGGTAACACACAACTCTGACAAGGATTGAAATCCTGCAGTGCCCGCAAGGTTCCTCTGCTCAAGAAAGCACATGTCCAGGCCTGTGTGAAGTTTGCCACTGAACATCTGAATGATGCAGAGGAGGACTGGTTGAAAGTGTTGTAGTCATATGAGACCAAAATCAAGCTTTTTGGCATCAACTCAACTCGCCATGTTTGGAGGAGGAGGAATGCTGCCTATGACCCCAAGAACATCATCCCAACTGTCAAACATGGTGGTGGAACATTCTGCTTTGGGGGGTGTTTTTCTGCTAAGGGGACAGGACAACTGCATGGCATCAAAGGGACAATGGACGGGGCAATGTACCGTCAAACCTTGGGTGAGAACCTTCCTCCCTCAGCCAGGGAATTGAAAATGGATTGTGGATGGGTGTTCCAGCATGACAATGACCCAAAACACACGGCCAAGGCAGCAAAGGAGTGGCTCAAGAAGAAGCACATTAAGGTCCTGGAGTGGCCTAGCCAGTCTCCAGACCTTAATCCAATTGAAAATCTGTGGAGGGAGCTGAAAGTTCGAGTTGCCAAACCTCAGCCACCAAACAAGGGATTTGCCACCAAGTACTAAGTCATGTTTTGTGAAGGGGATCAAATACTTATTTCCCTCATGAACATGCAAATCAGTGCATAATTTGTTAGACATGCATTTCTTTTGAATTTGTTGTTGCTATTCTGTCTCTCAGTGTTACAATACACCTACCATTCAATTTTTAGACTGATCATTTCTTTCTGAGTGGGCAATCATTCAAAATCAGCAGGGGATCAAATATTGTGTTGCCTGAATGTGAACTCTAATGTCATTTGTCTACAAATAGACTGTCAGTCTTTATGATTCTCAAAATAGTTTCTGATAATTAATCTTCTTTACATAGGCAGTGAAAGGATACATCTATAGGGAGTTCTGCCTGTAGATAGTTTTCAGCCTAGATACAAGTACTTTCTTAAAGCTGTTATGCAGATAACAGGAACTTTCACACAGAATGGCACAGAAACACTCCATAAATGTATTTTGTGATTTAATATATACCAATTAGGGGCTTCCTGCATTATGTTCCTAGTGGTTATTCAGCTATAGATGTTTAAGTGCCCCCTCTGTTTTAGCCTATTATTAACAATACAAATACCTAGTTTGTAAGGGTTGTTGTGCATTGCTGTATTCCTCCATAATATTTCAATAAAAGGACCCTGGAAATCAGTCAGACTTTAAACATTGGATGATGTAATTGGATGAGGGCATCTACATGGCTATTCGTCAAAACAAAGTGCTAAAAATCTATGGAGTATGACCTTGAGGCCATGTAAAGTTATGTCCCAAACACACGGGCAGAATATCAGCCAAAATCAGCCGTTACAGTAGAAACCGTTGACCTTTGTCTCATGTGTACAGCTGCTTCTGTGACAGAAGCTGATCTCATGACCAGCTTGTGTGGAACAGGCGTGCTAGAAAACCAACAGTCAATCAGCATCTGATCAGCACCCTCAGCCAATGGCTGCGAGCGCTTACCAGTGTGTTCTTTTTTTTTTCTTTTTTTTTATTAATATATTTTTTTATTAATTTTAATTAACATACATTATTTCACATTATACAACAATATTTTTCCATATCAAAAATTTTTCCACTAAACAAAGAAAATACCCTACACACCACCCTCCCCCACCCTCCAAGTGTGTTCTAGCAGAACACAATTGCACGGTGTAGAGATCACTGTACTAACATCGCACAGTTAGTACAGCAACCTCTCAGTTTTTTTTTTTTTTTGTTCAGCCTGCTAGGTTGAATGAAAAAAAACTTAACTTGTGTACCAGATTGGAAGACCATGCAAAATGTGTTTACTATTGTATCAATCATCACACCATTGTATTTGTTGCAACTTTTAGGGCTCATGTACACTGCAGCTCCTAAACTGACATTCAGGAGTTGTTGAGCATTTTTTTCAGCAGCCCCTGAACTCTCCCTAATGTTTCCCTATGTGCCCATGTACACATAGTTGTTTACAGTTGTTTACAGGCAGTTGAGTTTACAGTCGTTTTTTTTGAACGCACCAAACTTGAGTTCAGGAGTAAATTTTACTGGCGTTTCAAACATCAAATGCTTGTAAACACGTGTAAACGCTTGTAAACGCAGTTAACAGCGTTTATAAGTGTTTGCATTTAGATGCATTTTTTAACTGTTCCATGTCCAGATGCTGTCCAGAGCCTTTTTTCATCATCAGAAATGCATGCAAAGAATTTTCCATGTATTCAAATGGACCTAGTACACCAGCGCAGTCAGTTCCAGGTTTCACGTGAAGGAAAAATTGGTAGAACGTGCTGCATTATGCTCGTGATGGGATCCATAGTGAATACAACCAGAAAAGACAGGTCATCTCAACACATACTGCTATCTCTGCTTCTGCTCTCTCTATTCCTCTCAAAATGTCTGAAATAGTTCATTTGTTACTATTTTTCAGTGCATTCTAGGCATTTGGGAAGGTCTCCTGAGGTTATCTTTTAAAAACGCTTGCTTTTAAACTCAAACGCATATAAACGCGGTATGCAAACGCAGCTAAACTGAAATTTTTTAACCTACGTTTTCCAGCAGTCAGTTTCCATTGTTCAGAAGAGTTTTCCAAATGCCCCGTGTACATGAGCCCTTAATCCCAGCTCAGGTAATAGTGTGCTCAAAAGTATATGTAGTGAAAGAATATTTATTTTCTGTGGAACACACAGGAAAAATTTCTGCAAGTCAAAGCATTCTCAAAATGTATGCATAGTCTGGGGTCTGTGGGACATTGTGCTTCCTCCCATTCGAATCCCCTTTGTAAATTCAGTTAGTAGTTGCAGTTTTGAGCATGCTTGTAATATTGTCTTTGCGCAGTCTACTATAGGAACTGACTGGTCAGGACAACCTAAGATTAAAAAATAGGAAACAAGATTTTTTAAGAAACCCAATGATATTGTATTTTGTCTGTTGCTAGCTCTTTCAAATATTCTGTGAGTTTTGCTGAAGTGCAAAGGAATACACTGAACTCCTAGTACATGAGTGATTATATACTGTATATATCATAAGATACAAAGCACTGTATAGCTACTATTTATAATTATATTAAATATTATATATACATTATATCAAATATTTAGCATTTTGTATTATAGTAATAAAGTTCATGATCATAGAAGACCAGCTTTAGTATTGTCCTGTAAAATGCTATAAATGAAAACAAAACACAGTGCAGGGCAAAAGCAAGGATGTAAATAAAAGGGTTGCCATATGGAAGGGTTGTGCTTTCTCTACATCTCCAGCTCTGCAGTCATCAGTTAAAACTAGTGGAGTGTGAAGGAAAAGCTGCAGCAGCAATAAACATTATTATCCCTTTTATTATAATCCGTGCCACAAAGACAAAAGCCATTTCTACACTGTTAACAGAAGAAAACCACTAGGAATAAAATATGAGCACCTGTGTAAAAGCATCTTTTATGTCATATATTTTATAAATTAAATATAAATGCAAAGCATGCAATACATGGTGTATACATTGTATAAGTGTAGAAATGTGCATACGAGCAATGAAATTATAATTAAATGTATGTCCATCATAAGTACTTACAAAGAGTGTACCTTTTCTCAGGAAATGGTTTGAATGTATTCTATGTCTGAGAAGTTAAAATTATAATTTCAAAAATGACTTTAGTTTTTTTTTTATTTATAAGTGCCAACACTGTAATTAATGCTTTGTACTATTATATTAATTATTATTAATTATATTTTAAATACCATTTAAGTGAATTGCACTCAGTACAGAACTTTAAACAGCTATTCAAAAACATATGTAATGTGCAATAATTTTTAAAAAATTCCAACCAACACCTTAAAGATTGTGCCAGTTATCTTACTGTTGGGCATCTGTCTATACATAAGGGTAAGCATTATTTTATTTTCTACATTAAAAAAAATATGTAAAAAGCCTCCTTCTGCCCAGGGGCTTACACACAGACCAAGATCTATATATATATATATATATATATATATATATACACACACACATGTGAATGTGAGTATATGTGTATATATATATATATATATATATATATATACATACACACATTTACAAGCAAACACACACACACATATATATATATCTATATATATATATATATATATATATATATAATCAACCAAGCAGGACAGGGTGACCTTTTTGCTTGTAAAGCGGAAACAATGATACGTAAATTAACATGCAGAATCAGTTCAGTTACCTAGCTAAGCTCTCACCTTCTACATGCGATGTCCGTGTGACAGCCTCTACTCCAAGTAAATATTCTGGCATTTGTAGTTCCATATTTTGTCCTCTGTAGAAGACGAATGCTACTAAATGTAGAGGCCATGAGCTATGCGTGCAAGAGAACACACCATGAACAAGGGTGTACAAGAGGGGGAGTGAGTTAGATTATCTCCCCCTGCAGCAGCAAAACCATCATGAGCATCATTTGCAATACAGTCAATGGTACCTTCAAGCATCACTGACTGATGAGGGTTGAAGCAATGTATAAATTGTGTGGGAATAAGAACTCCACCCCTCCATAGCAGTGATTGGACAATGGCCATACCTGCACAGAGAAAACAAGCAGTTAATGTTACACTGTACTTGGTCCATTGCAAAGGTGTACAGTTTCTGTCTTCTATATTCTTTATTTCAGGTACTTATATAGCGCCATCAATTTACGCAGTGCTTTACATATATATTGTACATTCACATCAGTCCCTAACCCTCAAGGGGCGTACAATCTAAGGCATCATTGTTCAGTAATTAAAAACTAAGTAAAAAGACAGACGCAGGTACTGTGAAATGGAGTACATTTTTTTCTTTTGCCATTTGTAGGTGTGAGTGACATTGAGTGCTACTACTAGCTATAACATAAAAAAAATCAGTATGACAAGACTTGCCATACTGCTATTTTTTATGTTAAGTATATCGGGTTTATAAATCCACACTAATTATTAGTGAGACGGAGATATCAATATGACACATATTTACATGTCATGCTAGGTGGCTATTTCCTTCCCCTTTTTTGTTCTACTACTAGCTATACCATGACCTGGATAAATTAAAACCTTTATAGGCATACTTCTTTACAGCATTTCCAATTGTGTTAGACACAAAAGTTATATTGTCTAACATGCAATGTAAACCCTAGTGCAGACTGCAGAAAGAGTACATTTAGGAAGAGGCTCAGTTCACACAACTATTTTTCTTTTGCTTTTTTTTCATTATCTTCTCAATACAATGTCTTACATAACTCTAAAAGCTTAATTCACAAACACAGTATAATATCCTTTATTTAGTCTACACAGTCAAGACTGGTGTTTTGCCACTACTGCTGCTATTATAAGGCTGTCACAATTATTTTAACAACCATTCTGATAAAATTAATGTAAGTCAGTTCATGTGGATTTCCTTAGAGGTTATCCCTCCTGAGGATTTACCCCCCTTCCTGACCAGGCCATTTTTTGCGATATGGCGCTGCATTAATTTAACTAATTGCTCGGTCATCCAACGCTACACCCAAATGAAATTTATGTCCCCACAAATGGAGCTTTCTTTTGGTGGTATTTGATCGCCTCTTGGTTTTTAACTTCTTGCGCTATAAATAAACATAGACCGACAATTTTTTAAAAAAACAGTATTTTTGACTTTTTGCTATAAAACATATCCAGTACAAAAATTTTAAAAATCAAATTTCATCATAAATTTAGACCAAAATGTATTCTGCTACATGTCTTTGCTAAAAAAAATCCCAATACCTGTAAATTAATTGGTTTACGTGAAAGTTATAGCGTCTACAAATGGCGGTATAAATACTAGAATTTATATTTATTTATTTTATACTAGTAATACTAGTAATGGCAATCAGCGACTTATAGCAGGACTGCTCGATTGTGGTGGGCATTCGGACACTTGGGGGGAACTGACTAACTGTCACTGACATCCCCAGTGACACTAATAAAAATTGCTAATAAAAAGCACTGACACAGCACTAATGACATTGGGTAGGAAGGGGTTAACATCTGGGGTGATCAAAGGGTTAACTGTGTGCTGTGTGTGTTTTACTGAGTGCTGTACTTTACTGTGTAATCATGCTGCTTTGTATTTTTCTGCTATTTAGAGCAATACAAAGCAGAGTGCTGGAGCTGACAGGGGAGAGATCTGTATTGGGGACCTGGGGATCAACAGCTGTAGCCACCAATGGTGGCGTGGGCAGGGCCCCCTACCCGGAAGTGCAAAATCACGTATATATACGTAATTTTGCGCAGCCCTGCCGCCCTGTAGCAGTAGTTCTTCTATAGGGTGGTCCGGACGTGGTTAAAGGGTAACTCCACTTTCGTGGGGAAAAAAAAATTACATACATATATATATATATATATATATATACATATATATATACAATTGCAACAAAAGTGATATTGTAATTGAATGTTATTAAAAATAATCTTTCCTTTTAAATATGCAGCACTGGAATTTTACAGTATGGCTACCTGGAAACCTTCTGTACACAGATGGTGTACAGAATGCCCCCCCCCCCCAGATATGTGATTTCCTGTTTGTGTGATTGGCTTAATGATTTTTCCCAGAGGTCTGCACTGATACAAATCAGATTTTTGGCATCCCCTGCAACAAAATTTCATTTCTGCTGAGACACTCTCAAAGAGAAATCACTTCTTTAGGAATGCAGACCTTTTTCAATTTTCGAATTAGAGCCCTCCAGGTGCAGCAGCTGAATTATAAAACCAGTACAGATTCATTCTGCACAGGGACACAGACAAACAAACATCTATTTCTTCAGAGTAAGAAGAGGTAGGAATCTTCAACAAAGTTTGTTAAAAGTCCTTTCAATGTACATTGATACCTAGAGAGGGATGTTTTTTTCTCAACAAAAATTGAGTTGTGCTGTCCTACTGTCCTACTAACGGTTAGCCAACAGCTAGTTAACAAAACTGACAGAAGCAGCATTGTGTTTCATACCAAAACTGAATAGTTTCTGTAAAACTGCAAAACAATCACATAAACTGAAATCACAATGTGCTTGTATACATGTCTCTCACAAATGCATACAACGAACAAATTTCTTACAAACAGCTACCTACAAATCACAGTGAATACTTTGAAATGTGATCTAGTTAGGTATGTGACTTTACCAAAAACAATTAAAGAACTTAAAGGCATATGTATATAAAAGGGAGAATGTAAGAGACCTTGACTGGTCTTCACCACTGGCTGCAGTGGTTTATGGGAAATCTTTATTCTTAACAAACATGAGATTCTTCCTGTTCTTCCTGGAAAAATAAAAACAGGTGCAGCTGCAGTGAACACCAAATGGATAGATCCCTACTCAACACAATGATGATATATAGAGAACACTCCCCGCCTGGTATAAATATATACCACTGCTATATATATCTTTAAATTACTGTAACTAGGTAACTCTTTATTCTGGACAAGGACTACTCTTAGACTCTTGATAATGACTGTTTCAGCTTGCAAGAAATCTGATGGACGGCATAACTTTTTGCAACAATGCCAACCTTTACATAAATCTATTTGAGTGCTGTGGGAAAAGTATTTATTGATGTGAATAAGTGTTGCTGTACCTCTCACCAAAGACTTCAAATTTAAGAAATCAGTGTGAGCCTAACCAGTGTTCATGCACTTTAGTTGCCAAGGCTGTCACTTCAGATCTGATCTGTCAGAATTTGGTTCAATGAGGTCAAATACCTCGGCTTCATGTGGCTCGCTTATATCTGCATGCCACAAAAAATCTGGATCTGAGAACTAAGAGCCAACAATTAGCTCTAGGAAGATCAAAGAAGTCTAAAGTTACCTGTGAGTACTGTTACAATTAAAAGATGCCTATGTGAAGCCAAGCTATCTGCAAGAAGCCCCCGCAAAATCCCACTGTTGAAAAAAAGACGTGCTGAAGAGGTTACAATTTGCCAAAGAACACATTGACTGGCCTAAAGAGAAATGGCGCAACATTTTATGGACTGATGAAAGTAAGATTGTTCTTTTTGGGTCTAGTGGCCGGAGACAGTTTGTCAGACGACCCCCAAACACTGAATTCAAGCCACAGTACACTGAAGACAGTGAAGCATGGTTGCGCAAGCATCATGATATGGGGATGTTTCTCATACTACGGTGTTGGGCCTATTTATCACATACCAGGGATCATGGATCAGTTTGAATACATCAGAATACTTGAAGAGGTCATGCTGCCTTATGCTGAAGAGGAAATGCCCTTGAAATAGGTGTTCCAAGACAACGACCCCAAACACACCAGTAAACGTGCAACATCTTGGTTCCAGACCAACAAGATTGACGTTATGGAGTGGCCAGCCCAATCCCCGGATCTTAATCCATTAGAAAACGTGTGGGGTGACATCAAAAATGCAAAACCATAACCAAGAAATAGAGAAGAACTGTGGAATGTAGTCCAATCATCCTGGGCTGGAATACCTGTTCACAGGTGCCAGAAGTTGGTTGACTCCATGCAACACAGATGTACAGCAGTTCTCAGAAACAGTGCTTATACAACTAAATATTAATGAAGTGATTCAAAGGAAAGCAAAATCTTCAAACATTGTTCAGTTTATATAGTGAATGTTTGAGTTTGTAAAGAAGAATACAAACACTGCTATATTTTTTGAACAGTCTAATATTCACTTTTCTGCAATTTTTTTAGAGGAACAACACAAATTTGATATATTTTTCTTCATGTTTTGATTTGGAATAGAATGTGTAGTGTTCCCAATGCATTTGTGTGTATGGAAATAAAAGCTATTAGAAGGATTTTGAGCTTTATTCACTTTTTTCAACACACTGCTATTATTTTGAATGCAACTGTGTGTAAATAAAAATGCAGCTACTGTACAGGTGCAGCAGCACATCCAAGTCTGACAGACGTAAAGCCTCATGGACCTGTCCCTGCACGTCTGTCATCCTTGGTTGAAACGGTCCGCGTTTGGGGCCATGCACATGTCGTTGCATGCCTGTCAAAGCCTCACAGCGAAGGCTTGGTTCACCTACATACATTTTGCTTTTGATGCTTTCTCCAGTGCTTTTTGCAGTTTGTTTTGCGCTTTTCTACGCTTTTTTTTTTTTTTGGCAGAATAAAAATGCATAATGCAGCAAAAACATGGCAAAAATGCACTACCATGCATTTCAGAAGCTTCTCCATTGAACTCTATTGTAGCAAAAATTATTTTTGCTTTTAAAAAAATGTCCCAGACTCTTTACAAAAAAACAGCAGCTGAAAAAGGCATATATGTGAACATGGTCCACAGGAAACTGCGTTAAATGGACTGTAGTGCATTTCTGCAAAAATCACTAGAA